GCTGTGTTGGCGGGGGAGGGGGAGTGTTGGGGCTGGGCAGGATGTTGTGTTGGCAGATAAAGGGGGGACAAGGATGCTGTGTTGGCAGCTGATGGGAGGGGGGGCAAAATGCGATGTTGACATATGAGGGGGGTCTAAAGAATGTGGTGCTGGCAGAGAGAGGGTGGGGATATTTTCATAGGTGCCATATGGTGGCGGAGGTTCACAGAACCTACATGTGGTGGTTGGTGGGACAAAAGTTCCAATATATCGTATGGTACCTGCCAACATGTCTGCCTGGCTGGTACCTGCTCCATAATGCCTTCCAGACACCTTGCTGAAAAGTGCTCATGAGACTTGCCGCAGACATGCCGCAGATCCACTCCTAGACTCCCTTAGCTGACTTTGGTGTTGAGATGTAATTCTTTATAGGTACCTAGCAACCAGACAATGATTGGATAGTCTACACTAAACCAATGATTGATTGCAAATATATGACAAGTTACATAGTCCGTGACACCTGCTCTGCTATTTGGGATGTGTTGAAGGATGTTGTTATGAAAAAACCTACAACAGAAGAATGGTCACAGATCTCTAATGTTTTCTGGCAACACTGCAATTTCCCGATTTGTTTTGGAGCGATTGATGGAAAACACATTAGGATCATAAAGCCAATGGACAGCAGAAGCCAATACTTTAATTACTAGAAATATTTTTTATTTGTTTTAACGGCAGTGGCTGATGCTAATTATTGCTTTGGTTATACTGATATTGGGTCATATGGCAGCAACTTTACCTCAAGCATTTTTGTCCATTCTTCATTTGGACAGATGCTGCGTACAAATAGACTGGGCCACCCTGAAAACAGTCCACAAATGGCCCTCCCCCTACCCAGTGTAATTGTGGGGGATTAGGCCTTTACCCTGGGTGAGCATCTGCTATGGCCCTATTTGGGTCACAATCTAACTTTACGAAGAGAGTGTTCCGCTATCGGCTAACAAGAACACGTAGAGTTGCTGAATGTGCATTTGGAATTCTGTCTAACAAATGCCATCCTCTGCAAACTCCCATCATCTTGAACATGCAAAATGCAATCTATGCTGTTAAAGCTGCATGTGCCCTGCACAAGTTTGTTAGGCATCGCGATGGATTCCTGTTTGAGGACTCTTTAGTACACAATATGGAAAGAACTCATTGGACTCGGGTTCGGGGACGTAGACAAGCTACACATATTAGGATCAATTTGCACCCTACTTTATGTCCCCAACAGGACAGGTGGTAGTTGCTGGATGCAACTGAATAACTGTACATTTTGACAAACATTCAAAGTTTTACCCTGTATCTGTTAGTTAATAAAACTATCTTCTAAGCTGTATTGAATAATAAAAAATGTTTTATTGATAAGAAGCCTTGTTGTATTTTTTAAAATATATGTATTTTGTTTACATCATCTATACATTATTGAGCACTAGAGGTCAGAGAGTGCCCTCATGTATTTGTGACATGCTGTCATCTATCAGTTTGCGTGTCCCCAGGTAGCCTTGTTATCCCTCTTGCTTACAGCTGCTGCAGGGCACAGAAGGAGGAGGGGGATGGTGGGTGGGTCTAGCAAGTGATATTTCTTAAGCATGTATAGCTAAAAAAGTTAACTAATTATTAATATCACTTAGGGGGTGTGGGGGTGGTTGGGTTTGCATGGGTTTAGCTTACCTTTATCATCCTTGACAGTGGCATTGAAGTCTGCCCAGTTTGTGAACACTTGGCTGCCAATCTGGTACCATATCCTCCTCTCCTCGCTCAGGACTTGTAGGATGGAACTTTGGAATCATACAGGCAGGGGTGATGCTTCACCATACTAATTAAATTCTTGGGATCCAGCAGAGACACTGCCTCATCCATACAGCTCCTCAAATCTGCTAAACAAAATGGAGATCTGTGCATTTCCTTGGAAATATTTTGTCATTTTCTTTTTGGGAGTTTTTAGCGTACAGGATCGGATGCCGGCGGGTGTCAGCGGACACGTTTGCTGATACCAGCCGCTCTATAGAGAGCAATGGATGGTCCGATCGAGTCTGCCTGAAAAACTGACAGGCAGACCTGATTGGACCATCAGTGTGAAAGTGGACTAAAAGCTGTTGCTGCAGTCCTCATCTGAAACACAGTACTGTAATGTGGAACTAATCTGGTTACTTTTATTATAATAAAGCTTTTCTGTATCATATCTGTTAGATACAATATCTTTTCTGTACTAAAGACAAGCAGAGACACATTACAGTGCAGTGATGGGAGCAGTCCAATGTACAGTACACGGAGATGTGTATTAGAGGACTGGAAACTCATTCTGAATAAATACTAATGGTGGCCATACATGCTTCAATAAATGTCTGATTTCTTTTCCGATTGATTTCTTCCTATATAGAATTTTATATAGATTATTCCTATAAGAATAATCAATCTAAAGTCAACAACCCATTTGATCAATATACCACACACGGGGATACAAATTTCAATTGATAGTTAAGATAGGATTGAAACTTCCAATCAAAAGTTATTGATTGTGTCTCTATTTTTATCATGTAATCTTACAATCCGATCTATTGAAATATGATCGTATTCATTGCCAAAAGTATCTCCGTGCTGCTGATTGATGCAAAACAATCAATAGATGGTTAGCACTTCCACCTGGCAGCACTAGGGTTGTTGGTTTGAACTCCAACCATGGCACCACCTGCCTGGAGTTTGCATGTTCTCCCTGTGCTTATGTGGGTTTCCTCTGGGTACTCCAGTTTCCTCCCATACTCCAAAGACATGCTGGTAGGTTAATCTCCCTGGTGGTCTGATTATGTCAATATTTTTGAATGTCAAAGCGGTACATTGTTTTGCATGGAAATTTCAGTGTCTGATGACAAATTTCCCAACGAATCACTATCGCTCAATTCTGCAAGTGATTCTAATTCACTATTGCTGTTTTCTAGCTGGTCTAAAACCGCTTTTGACCTAAAGAGACACTTTCTGGATGCCATGGACGTTCTCAAGTTTTCAGGCAGAAAGAATGGTAAAAAAAGGAGAAAAAGCACCTCTAAGGCAATATGTTGTACATTTATTGAGTAACATAATGAAAACCACTCACATGATGAGAGAAAACAACAGGCTTAGGCATATGTGTTAGAGACGAGGGACAAAGCGGCATCCTCAATGTGTGCACCATGGTCAGCGCTGGAGGAGACTTTGGATGTGTCACAGGGAGTCGGCCAGCATGTGTGAGAGACAAAGATGGCGTCCGGAGTCCACCCTGAAGCGCAACGTCAGTGTCAACGTGATGACATAGGGATGTCCAGCATGCAATGCGACGCATTTCAGAGCATGCGCGAAGCCAATGAAAAGCAAAGGCGCGCTCCCTTCTCAAGCATGTGCTGGAACGGAGTACATGAGTGTATACATATGTAGACAGAGGCAGGCCTAATGACGATTAACAATGCGGAATTAGCCGGAATTATGAATTCAAGGTACAAGACTAAGAAATTCTCAATGAAAAGCAATAAAGAAAAAAATTATCAATGAAAGGCTAAAAATGGCGGAAAAAAAGGAGGAAAAACAAGAAAAAAGAAGAAATAAAGAAAAAGATAAATAATGAAAAAAATAATGAAAAAATAAGAAAATAAATAAGAAAAAATTAAAAAATTAAATAAAAGAAAAAAAGAAAATGAAAAAATATATTAATAACCAGGAAAAAATAATAATAGTAAAGAGAAAAATAATAATAAGAAAAATAATAAAAAAGATAATAATGAGAGAAACAATACTAAACATTGACAAGAAGAAAATAATAAAAGAAAAGAAAAAAATATATAATACTCACATGCAAATAATCTATATATATATATATATATATATATATATATATATATATATACACACACACATATATATATATATATATATATATATATATATAACTATGGTCTATCTATGCCTAAGCACTCTGTGTACAAGCGTACGATAATAGAAAAATGGTAGATGATACATGTGTATGGAGAATTATAGGTAATAAATGAATAAATAAATAATATATGTGTACATATGGCAATATAAATGTGCATTCACACTACTACATAGCAGAGTGAATTGCTTAAGATGTACATATTTTGTAGTCATAAAAAGAATTAAATATAAATGAATGAAAATAAAAATAAAAGATGGATACTTAATTAGAGGAATTAGAGATGTGATAATAAGTACAAGCAGATAGCACACGATTGGCTTATATCATAGAATGATGCTAACATCTAATTCCTCATTAAGTCCACCGGGAGACAATGTATCAAGCATAAAAATTCAATATGTCTCTTGAGAACATAACCTAGAGGAAGCGCTCAGATTCAGAAAGATGTTTGGGTATGGCTTCTATAATCCAAACTTTTAGGCCTATTGTTGTTTTTTATCTTCACTTAGAGCCTGCTACAGCTACAAGAGCTTGCCCTAGTGCTTTATGGACTCACTGCATAAGTCATTTGGACTTTCATTTTACACGTCATTTGTACATTAACACCTATTTATCCGCCTCCCACCCGCCATTTCCTTATATGGCAGGAGGGAGGCGGTTAAATATGTGGTTCTCTTGTTCTGGGAGGATGTCATATGACGTCCTCCCACTGTAACTGTGTGTGTGCAGCGCGGCAATTGGTGGGTGAGCTGTGTCCCTGGGACACAGCGAATCACCGATCAATGGAAGGAGCTGATGACGTTGGCTCTGTCATGTGATCAGCTGTGTCCAATCACAGCTGATCGCATGTAAATAAGGAAATGCCGGTTATCGGCATTCCTTTCCTCACAAGCTATCACGCTGATAATCAGTGTGCCCTGATGATCAGTGAAGCCCCATCAGTGCCACCTGTCAGTGCCCATCAATGCCACCTGTCAGTGCCCATCAATGCCATCTGCCAGGGCCCATCAGTGCCACATCAATGCAATATATCAGTGCCTACCAGTGCACATCAGTGCCACCTATCAGTGCCCATCTGAGCTGCCTTTCAGTGCCACCTATCAGTGCCAGTCAGTGCCACCTATCAGTGTTGCCAATCAGTGCCAGTCAGTGCCACCTATCAGTGCCAGTCTGTGCTGCCTATCAGTGTGCATCAGTGCTGCATATCAGTGCCTGTCAGTGCCGCATAACAGTGCCAGTCAGTGCTGCCTATCCGTTCCAGTCAGTGAAGCCTATCAGTGCCATATATGAGTGCTGCCTTTCAGTGCCCATCAGTGATGCCTGTCAATACCCATCAGTGCCACCTACCAGTGCCTCCTCATCAGTGCCCATCAGTGCCGCCTATCAGTGCCCATCAGTGCAGCCTATCAGTGCCCATCACTGCAGCCTCATTAGCGCACATCAGTGAAGAAGAAAAATCACTTATTTACAAAATTTTAAAACACAAACTAAGAAAAAACTTCTTTTTTCAAAATTTTCAGTTGTTTTTGGTTTGTTTAGCAAAAAATAAAAAAAAACCCAGAGGTGATTAAATACCACCAAAAGAAAGCTCTGTCTCAAAAAAATGATAAATGTTGCATGACTGCACAATTGTCATTCAAAGTGCGACAGCGATGAAAGCTGAAAACTGGCCTGGGCAGGAAGGGAGTATAAGTGCCCTGTAGGAAAGTGGTCAATATCCATTTTCCATTGTTATTAAGGATTGGGGAATCTGTATGCGCTGATCTTTTCTTATTAGAAAGAACGGTAAAAGTACAGGCAGGGCACTGGACAAAGCACTAGGGACAAAACTGAGATGAAATGGTTTGATACAGTAATGTAATCCTAACAGATTACAATGTATTGTGTGTATGTCATGTTTTCACTTTTTTTTATCTCCTGCCAGTTCTGCCCCCCTTCTCGCAGGGAAAGGAACCCAGAAGACGTATGCTGGCATCAGCCGGAGGACACAGCAGCAGGAGGACATCGGCTGGAGGACAGCAGGAGGACACAGTGGAGGACATCAGCAGGAGGACATCAGCCGGAGGACACAGAGGGAGGACATTGGCCGGAGGACACAGCGGAGGGCACAGCAGGAGGACACAGCGGGAGGACATCAGCCGGAGGACACAGTGGGAGGACATTGGCGGGAGGACACAGCAGAAGGACATCAGCCGGAGGACACCGCAGGAGGACATTGGCTGAAGGACACAGCAGGAGAACATCAGCCGGAGGACACAGCGGGAGGACACAGCAGGAGAACACAGCGGGAGGACATCAACCGGAGGACACAGCGGAGAGGAAATCAGCCAGGAGGACACAGTGGGAGGACATTGGCGGGAGGACACAGCGGGAGGACATCAGCCAGAGGACACAGCAGGAGGACATCAGCTGGAGGACACAGCGGGAGGACATCAGCCGGAGGACACAGCAGGAGGACATCAGCTGGAGGACACAGCAGGAGGACATCAGCCACAGGAGGACACAGTGGGAGGACACAGCAGGAGGACACAGCGGGAGTACATCAACTGGAGGACACAGCGGGAGGACATTGGCTGGAGGACACAGCAGGAGGACATCAGCCGGAGGACACAGCAGGAGGAGGACATTGGCCGGAGGACACAGTGGGAGGATATTGGAGGACAGCAGAGGACACAGCGGGAGGACATTGGCCGGAGGACACAGTGGGAGGATATTGGCAGGAGGACACAGCGGGAGGACATTGGCTGGAGGACACAGTAGGGGGATATCGGGGGATCGCAGGGGTAACGTAAATTACACTACACACACAGTACAGTGTAATCCCAATTGTGGCTCGGGGTTACCAGTTTTGGTATTGAAAATGAACCCCAAGCCACAATCAGGATTTCCGCTAGGGAGGTTAATTGGATCCTGTTTACAATGGCCCTAGTGTGTGTATGTAAATTATGGACCTGCTCCTTGAGGGCAGGGACTGATGTGAATATACAATATTGTATCTATGTACTGTATGTAAAGCACTATACAAGTACCTGTAATAAAGAAATAATATTCTACAATGACCAATCGATTCAGTTTGATCAAATCCAACAAGCCTAATGGCGGCCATACATGCTTCAATAAATTGCCCATTTTTTTTCCAGTTGATCTCTTGCACAAAGAATAATCAATCTACAGTCAACCCATTTGCTCAATATGCCACACACTGTGAACTGGATTTTGATCAATAGTTAAAGGTACGATCATAGCTAATGATCATAATTTATTGAATGCATCTGTTTCCACCATGTAAACTCATAATCTGTCCAATCAAAATACAATCCGATTTAGGAACAAAGCATCTCAGTGCTGCCGATTGATGCAAAATGATGAATAATTCCCCCCCCCCCCCCCCCCCCCCAGCCAATGAACTCATTTTGATTGAATCCAATCAAAATTGAATCTGAATTGATCAGAACGGAATTTATGGCTTTTCGATGACTTGCAGGTGCGATCGTTTTGATTGAGTTGCACGTCAAGTAGATAAAAAACATGTATGGCCGCCATTTAGCTTTTCTTCCACTATAAGATATGGTTAGAACCAGGGGTGGACTGACAACTCATGGGGCCCCTGGACAATAGGGGATCATGGGGCCCCTGTGTCCTTGCCCAAACTCAAAAAGGCCTATGAAAAAGGTACCAGGGGCATCTCATGGGGCTCCCTACTGACCCCGGGCCCTCGGGCAGTGCCCGAGTTTCCAAATGGTCAGTCAGCCCCTGGTTGGAACTTAAAATGGTAAGTTATTGAATGCTCCTCTGTTTCCACCATGTAATCTTATAATCTGATCTATCAAAATGCGATCGTATTCATGGACAAAGTATCTCAGCACTGCCGATTGATGCAAAAATAATCAAGAATATTTTTCCCTGGATGATCGACTTAGTTTGGTTGAATCTGACCAAGTCTAAATTGATCGGAAGGGAAGTTATAGCTGTTGGATTGTTGGCAGATTCAAATCGCATATTGAGCGAATAAAAAATCAAAACTTATATGGCGCCATAAAGCGTACAATTAATAGAAACAAACAGTTACCTGCTCCATTGTACAGATCCTGACCCTCTTAGCCCCTCAATGTGAAGACATAGGAAATGTCAGTGCTCTGGGAAGTTGTAGTTACTCTGTTGCTAGGCGACAGACTCTTCTAAAGTAGGATTTGTAATGATTGGGTTCATAGAGGAGCTCACATATGAATCCAGCACTGTTCACCCAGCATGCTCCGCCACTGTGTGCCGGTGTTGCCGGTCCCGTCCTCTCCCCCTCGATCCTTGCAGCAGGTCGCTGAGATTCGTGACAACTGTCCGGGTCCTTCACAAGTTTGTGCCGCGGAGAGCTGTTGCTATAGAAGCTGCTGAGAGTTGTGGAAGGGGCGGGGCGCCGGGAGTGGGCGTGTCACCTCGAAGTGTCTCCAGGAAGTGAGCAGCCATAGTTTTGGTTCCAGTCTGTGCAGTGTAGTGTACGGAGAAGTAGAAGACGTGTGACATCTGTGTAATTGTGCACTGATATCAACTAGATCGCATCATTCTTCATATCCACCGATTCCTGCACCGATCCATCGCAGCCACCAGACCATTCCTTCAAAGACGTCATGTTCTCTTTCTGTCCTTTTGTTTATTATTCTTTCCTGCTTCTGCTGTGACCTTGTTGTGTGACATTGTATCAGCTCTAAATACATGGAGTCAAATAATTTAGTATCAATATTGAAAGGTGGCCCTGTTAAAGTGGGTGTAACCCATGTGGTCGTTTTTTTTCTGTGACCCCATATCTTGCTTGCTTTCCCTGAGATGAATGTTTATTGGAGACATGGTCTATGTTTTGTCATACCATTAGTTCTTCATTTCAATATAAAATATTGGAATATAAAGTGGTTGTAACCCCTTCCACTACCCAGTCAAGGGACTGGCCTCAGGTATTACACAGAGATGAGACAAATCCTCCTACAGTGTACCTGTCCATCTGCTGTCTTCTCTATATCCGCCCAAAGTGCAGAATTTATAAAGCTTGTCAGAGAGTTCAGAAAAAAGGGGACAGAGAGCTGAAGATAAAGTGTTACTAAACCCACAACAGTAAAATTGGTCTGTATATGCAGTTAATCCTCTGCATTCTGTAAAAACGCTGCTTGATCCTGACTTCTCCAATCCTCCCTTTCTTCCAATGCCCCCCCCCCCCCCCTCTTCTTATCTCCTGATAAGACATATTGTGTGGAGTCACTCTGCACATGCTCAGTTTGGTGTGTATTGCTGGAGAGGTTTTTTTTTTTTCTCTTCTTGGGAGAGTGCATGTGATCAGCACAGGGCCAATCAGCACTGTCCAGACAGAGGTCAAGGGTTTTGCATCCTCCTAGAACAGAAAGAAAACCCGTCCTACAAGGTTTAACCACTTGCGTTCCAGAAGATCTCCTGACCAAGCCAATTTCTGCGATATGGCGCTGCATAACTTTAACTGACAATTGTGCGGTCATGCAACACTGCACCCAAATTAAATCTCTGTCTTTTTTTCCTACAAATAGAGATTTCTTTCGGTGGTATTTGATTGCATCTGCGTTTTTAATTTTTTGCACTATAATAAAAAAAAAGACCGTCAATTTTGAGAAAATAACAATACTTTTTACTTGCTATAAAACATATCCAGTAAAAAAGAAAAAAAAAATGTTGTCATAAATTTAGGCCAAAATGTATTCTGCTACATGTGTTTGCTAAAAAAAATCCCAATATGTGTAAATTAATTGGTTTAGACATTCATTTAGTTCCAAATCGAAATTTGGATGAAATTTACGTTATTCGGAGAATATGATGCATCCGAATCTCCGAAACACAATTGTAAAGAATTTCAAAAAATCTAAAATAAATTATAATGAAAACATCAAACTCATTTGTATTCATTTGTTTCATTAGTTTGCGACTTCAGAGGGTTTTGTAAGTTCAATAGTATTGTCACACTCTGTATTATGATTGATCAAGCAAAATATCAAAGTCACAAGCCAGTTGCATCAAAATCACAAGCAAGGCAACTTAAATCGTAAGCAAGTCCCCAAAATAATGAATCCAAATCTTCTGAAATAACTCAAAAACATGAATCAATTCTAACATAACAAATATGGCAAAACAAAACGAATTACTTAACGAATAAATCCAAAAGGAAACAAATGTTTTCATCATGCACATCTCTATTGGTAAGCAAGTCAAAAACACACTTCACATAAACTCAGCAAGGATTGGCATTTCTCTTCTTCCTTGATGAATTCCTCATTCACGCCTGACCATAAACTTCCACTCCTCATCTTCTCACAGCCGACATCAAAATATATGAAAACCCACTTACTAAAACTGGTG